TGCTACGAATAACCAATAGTGGGGCGTGAGGTTACCAATAGTGGGGTGTGAGGAAGGGGGTGGTGTATAGTGGGGTAGGCATTTAGTTGGGGGACAATGAACTCCCCCGGTTTTGGGTAATTGAGAATGTGTTATTTGAAAAACAGAAACGAGTTTTGAAGAACCTGAATATAGGGAATGTTCTCGGCGTGCATGTTCATGAGGAATCCAAAAATCAAGAGGGGCGACCAAACAAAAGTGGTGCATGTATACAGGGCGTAAAAAAAAAGGAACACAGAAAACATTCATATCAAATAATATTAACTCAACAAAACCAACAAACAAACAAACAACCAAAGAACAAAGCAAAAAAATCGCCCCATCTCGTACCATCCAAACAAAATAAAAAAAAAACGGTGTGTTTGTGGGTTTTACACAACCTTAACACCACCCCCCGCACTCGCCATGACCTGTTTCTTCAAATGCGCCTTATACTCCGCAATCGTCCCATTCCACAAGCGCATCTCTCCATTCTCACACACCCAAATCTGTTCCGCAACCTGACTAATCAATCTAAAGTCGTGACTGACCAACACCACACCCCCATCAAACGACTTGATAGCATCCGCCAACGAATCAATAGTTTCAATATCCAAGGCATTGGTGGGTTCATCCAACAACAACATATTAGGTCTGTTCATCGAAAGCTCACAGAACACCACCCGCGCACGTTGTCCATCACTCAACTGCCGCATCGGACACAACTGAGAATTCGAAGTCAACCCAAACCGTCCGATATGCGAGCGCCACGTGGGGAGGTCCTGTGGCATATCGGGGAACTTGTTACGGAGATAGTCAATGGCGGATTTATCAAGGTCGAGTTGGTCAGCGCTGTGTTGGGAGTATTTCCCGATCTTGACGTGGGTGTGTCGGGAGACACTGCCGGCAGTCGCACTTAGTTCTCCACTGATGATTTTGAGGAGGGTGGATTTCCCGGCTCCGTTGGGTCCTACCAACGCAATCCGGGATTCAGTGTCACATCCCCATTCGAGGTCGCGGTAGATCGCGTCCTTCATTTCGCCATTGTACGAGAAACTCATTTGTGTGAATGCAATGACGGGGGGTGGGAGCTGTCCGCTACTCTCAAATCGGAAGGAGAACTTGTTACCCCGATCGACTTTTTCGATCAACCCATCTGCTTCCATCTTGTCCAAAATCTTTTGCCGACTCTTGGCTTGACGCACCAAATTGGCATAGGTACCGCAAGACGCAATAAACTGCTTCATGTGTGCAATTTCAGCTTGCTGTTTTTCGTAGGCTTTCATCTGGTTGACTTCCAATTCTCCCTTGGTCTTGACGTACGTGTCGTAGTTTCCAGAGTAGTACAACAACTGCTTCTTGGGTGTGAGTTCAATCACGTTGGTCGCTACTCCGTTCATGAAATCTTGAGAGTGGGAGACCATCAGAAGGATACGGTCGTACTGCGCGAGGTACTCTTCCAACCATACACACGCGCCGAGGTCGAGATGGTTGGTGGGTTCGTCGAGTAACAGCATGGTAGGCTTGACGAACAAGGCACGGGCAAGTGCCACACGCATACGCCAACCTCCGGAAAGATCCTTCGTCATGTAGTTCATCCGCTTATCATCGAACCCTAAACCGTGAAGAATGGATGCCGCGCGGGCCTCGAATGTAGAAGCGTCCATGGCATCAATGCGCTCGTAAATGTCTTCGAGAATAGGAGACTCGGGGTTCTCGGTCAACAGGTCTTCCATCATTTTCTCGAGGCGCTTGAGTTCTTCTTCAGCGTCGTTGATGACCGCACGAAGCGCGGTCATTTCTGTGGGAGGGTATTCGGAGTTGAGGAGGTAGATGTCAATGTGTTCTGGGATCGGGACTTCGCGCGCGGCGAGGGATTGCAGGAAAGTGGACTTGCCGGATCCGTTAGGTCCAATGAGGGCGTAACGACGGCCATAGTTCAATTCGAGGGTCGATTCGTTGATGAGGATTTGGGAAAAGTACGACAGCGAGTATTGCTCAATCTGTGAAACACGAGTCATGTCAGTCAACATGCTTCAAACCACTATGTCGCCGACCATTCCTTTCATGCCTATCACAGTGGGCGTAAAATCCCATTCCTCACTGGTTTCCAACCCATCAACAATGCGGTACATCAGTTCCAAGTGCCGTCTTCAAATCTGGTCGCGCATCAACAAGCCCCATCAGATTCTCGCAGGTTGGTCTTCCCGCTCCCCACTCACACTCATACACACACCCCACATCAAAAAACGAAAAACAAAAAAAACAACAAGTACCTTAATATCCCTCGAATCCTTATGCGAAGTCAACACCCCACTCGCCACCCGATTCGTCTCCAACTCAGCCTTAATCTTCAAATTCTCCATCTCATCCGTCACATCCTTCGTCGCCTCCTTCTTCGCCGCCCGCTTCGCCTCTCTCTCTGCCTTCTTCACCGCCTTCTCTGCATCCTTGGCTGCCTTCTTGGCCGCTTTCTCGGCGAGTTCAGTGTTCTTCCCCATAACTGTTAAAAATCTAATTTAATATATATATATATATATATATATATATATGTGTGTGTGTGTTGGGAACAATAAGTTAACTAAAACTAGGATGTGGTGTTTAAATATGCAAAAAAAACAAGAAAACGCTTGCGTTCTTGTATGTGTCAGTGAGTGTCTCAAAAACGGTTCTGCTTCTCCAACACTTGAAAGACTTCTGTAGCGTTCCTTTGCAGTTATCAACACCGAACTTGCAAAAGAGAGACTAGGTTGCTTGCTTGCTTTCTTTTCCAACCAGCAACCTCCAAAATAAAAAAAAAAACCACCCAAAAAAAAAAAGTGGGGTTCTCGGGTCAGCTTTTTGACCTTTTTAAAAAAGACGCTTCTGTTCGCCCAAAATAATTAATGGCAGCATATGTAATTAGGGTTGTTAACCCCATACAGGTTATGTAATACACAGGGTCACATGACCGCATATCCGGTTATGGATTAACAACTGCACTGCGACGCGGCTGTGGGGGCCATTTGTATTGGAAGGAATCCTCAAGGCAATTTATAACGTCTCAACTATAATATGTACACAAACAAGTGGGCTCAAGTTTCTATAAAGGTTTCATGCAAGTCATTGATCTGCTCCAAAGAACTTGAACCCGGCAACCGCACCCGCACTCGCACTCGCCTCGTCATCACGCGTCGTCGGGGTATCATTTTCCGCATATCCCAGATCCATACTCATCTCATTCACACTCCCATTTTCATCCCCTTCAATCCCGCTCATGTTCATGTCACTGTGGATCCTTGTTTCCGCTGCATGGAAGAGCGTGTCGTCGTGATCATGTGGCGCGGGTGAGACGTGTGCAATCGGTGAGACGGGGATCCGAGAGGGCGACGGTGCCCCTGCATCATGATCGGCTCGTAGAGCGTTCCATAACTGAAAAAAAAATTACAAAATGTCAGCATTCTCCTTTTTTAATTGACAAAAACGGATATTACCTTTTCGTTTTCCCCCATGACGTCGTCCAAGGCTTTCCGCACCTCGTCTCCTCGTTTCCGTTCCTCTCTGATGGCCTGTTCAGTCTGCATGATCTTAACCTCGTTTGCAACCAAGACAGTCTTCAACTCTTCACATTCCTCTAACGCTGCTAAATATTTCTGTTCCAGTTCCTGATCCGCCCGTCGCGACGCCGCTTCGGCGTCTTTGGACTCGTAGGTTTCGACGACTTGGCATAGCTCTTCAATTTCCAAATTGCGTTCAACGAGGGTATGTTCGAGTTGCGAGACGAGGTCTTCCTTGGCAGCCAGTTCCGCACAAAGGGATTCAAACGCTTGTCGATCGCGGGTTTCTTCCGCATTCGCATCTGTTGGATGACCAATGGTTTGCTTGACCTCGTCCAACTCGGTGTCTTTTCGGATAAGCGCCACCTCCAATGCCTCGATCTTTTTATCTTTTTGCACGCATTCTTCCCTTAATTCCTGGACCAAATCGCGTAGCTCCCTCACCTCTGCTCGCACGGTCACAAAGTCGTCCTCTCGCAAGGCGACTTCACTTTCTGCTCGAGAGGCGCGAGCGGTGGCAGCCGACAAGCGTTTTTGGAGAGACTGGATGTCGTCGGATTTGGAGGCGAGTTCGCGTTGGAGGAGTGCAATGGTGTGTGCTTGGGAATGTTTCTTATGTACCGTTCCTGTTGTTGATGTTGTTGATGTTGATTTGAGAGTGGATAGTTTATCGCCAAGGGGAGTAGAGTCTACTGCATCGAGGATGCCGCGCACGCTCATGGCAGCAGCAGCAGCAGCAGCAGGAGGATGCGTTTTCATCTCGCTGTTATTTTCTTTCCCATTCCCTTTATCTATTTCTCCCCTTTCATCTAGATCATCCTCTTTTCGCCGCCTCCACGCCTCCTTTTTGATAGGTTTTTTGAATTTGGAAAGTGTTTCATTTTTGCGATGGACATTGGGATCCGACTTGCGTAAGGCTGTTTTTGCCATACTCCTCGTCGTTGGACCATTTTGATGGGTGGTGGTGGTGGTGGTGCCCTTGGATTGTTTCCAGAGACGGAGTTGTTCTTCACGGGAGAGCTTACTGGTGGTTGTTGTAGTGGAAGCCAGTGTCATGTCCATGTCGTCCTTGTTTTCTTTGCCAGTCTCTCTGTACGGGTACGGATGTGTGTCCACGTTCATTGGCTTTGTTGCGACTCGATCTCTAAGAGACCCCCGCCTTGTATAAGATATATCCCTCTTCTTCCCCTTTCAAATCAATCCACTCTGTCCTCCGTCTCCCTCCTCTACTTGATATGATCTGCTTTGCCCTGTCGCTCTCTCTCTCTCTCTCTCTCTCTCTCTCTCTCTCTCTCTTCCTCTCTCCACTATGCTCTCTACTGTGCAATATGCTCTCTCGTTTGCCCAGACAGGCGCGTTTGCACCCAATTCCCACCTTTGTCCAGACAGGACTCTGATATCACGTGACCCTCAACGCGGCACCGATGCAAAAGTACAAAAATAAAATGCGAAGTGTGAGAATCGAACTCACGACCTTAGGATTATGAGACCTACGCTCTACCGACTGAGCCAACTTCGCATGTTCTGTGATGAGTGTGTTCTGTGAGTGTCATCATATGTATATATATATATATAAATACGACACTCTGTAAAACACAAGTGACTTACTGAATTAGTACGAGTGACTACGGAAGCAACCGGTGGTCTCTTTCGATCTGGGCGCGTGAGCCCACCAATGAAATGAATTGGGCAATAATGTGTTTCCTGCATGTGCATGTGCATAGTAATAATTCCCAATTCATAGTGTGCTAGTGTATAGTTTATTAACTAGTAAGTAGCTAATTAATATCATACATAGTATAGTATATAATAGTAGTTAGTAGTTACTACTAAGTAATATTACTTACTATTATATATTATATACAATAGCTGCTGGGGGGTGCGTTCGGATTATCCCCACTAACAGTCAGTAGTTCACTCACACTCATCCCGGCCAAAAGGCGGGGGGGACAAGTTAACAACACACACACACACACACACACAGAGAAATACAGGCAGTGATTGTCACTTACGCATATACATATACATTTACATACATACATACACTTATACCAGAGAGAATGGCGGGTTGGACTGCTACTGCTGCTACTGCTGCTGCTGCGTCGTGCAATACTACTTCAGTAAGGGCATTCCGTATGGCTAGGGTATGTATCCATCCCATCCCCATCTCGTGTGGGGTAAACAAGTGGGGAGCATGGCACATGCGTATGCATATGCATAGATTGCACTTGTACATGAGCATGCACACAACATGGCAACGACCCGCAACCACAATCATAACTCCCCCATAACTCATAACTTATAACTTATCAACTTACTAGACACCGATGGTCGTCGCCGCTGCTCGGGGATTCCATGTCTCCGCCGTCTCGCGCCTGGCAACCACCACCACCACCATCGAGGCAAAACCCCCTCTCATCAAAACATTCCAGATCTACCGCTGGTCGCCCGACACCCCTGCGGAAAAACCCCGCCTCCAGAAATACCAGATCGATCTCAACCAGTGTGGTCCCATGGTCCTCGATGCCCTGATCAAGATCAAAAATGAGATCGATCCCACCCTCACTTTTCGGAGGAGTTGTCGAGAGGGTATTTGCGGAAGCTGTGCCATGAATATTAATGGTGGAAATACCCTTGCTTGTTTGTCCCGTATCGAGAGGGGCTCGGCCGATGTCAAGATCTATCCCTTGCCGCATACCTATGTCGTCAAGGACCTCGTTCCCGGTGAGTATCTGTGAGAGGGTGCGTGATTTGTGTGAGGGTGAATTGAGAGTGAGAGTGAATTGAGAAATTGAATGAGATGAGAGAGTAAGAATCAATCATAGAGACACCAATACTAACTCAATATAAATAGACCTTACGAACATTTACAAACAGTACAAGTCGATCGAGCCGTACTTGAAGCAACGCACCCAACCCGGTGACCGCGAGAACCTCCAGTCCATCGCCGACCGCAAAAAGCTCGACGGTCTCTACGAGTGCATCCTCTGCTTCTGCTGCTCGACATCTTGCCCCTCCTACTGGTGGAACAGCGACAAGTACTTGGGCCCTGCCGTCCTCATGCAGGCGTACCGCTGGATGATTGACTCGCGTGACCAGTTTGGATTGGAGAGGAGGCAGAACTTGCAGGACCCCTTTTCCGTTTACAAGTGCCATACCATCATGAGTAAGTATCAGTGCGAGCATCAGCGCGGTCTATGCCCTTGACAAGAGTATTATCATTATCATTATGCTTACGATTAAATTGTTCTTTTTGTAGACTGTGCAAGGACTTGTCCAAAGGGATTGAACCCTGGTCTCGCCATCGCCGAGATCAAAAAGTTGATGGCCTTAGATGGATAAAAATTTCATACAATCAAAAGGGCGACGACTTTGTGTGAATTTGAAGAAAAAGGGTTATTTTATGGAATCTGTCTGAAGAGAGCGGTCCCACCAAAACTCTACTCTATTCTCCCGCCCTGGTTTTCTCGCTTCTTTGTTTGGTTTTTTCTCATTGATATTTGTCATTTTACAAAAATCGTTTTCTTTGCTTTTGCATTTGTTAAATGTTGTCGTTCGTCGTCTCGATCTCTGCGTTTTGTGTGGTGTTTTTTGTATGACTTTATTATACAATTGATTTTCCATCGCTCCTTTTCTTTCATCACACTCCGGATCCATGTTATTAGTTCACAGATTCATGATTGTCCTCCTCGGATATGACTTGTGTCACGTGACCGTAAGTCGCATCCGCTGTTCGCAGGTCTTTGAATTTGTTTTGACATTGACAATTAAAGCGGAAGCCACTAGATCTAACTTATATACTTATTATCATTCCCTTTGCAATTTTCGCATAACTACCACCACCACAACGACTGGTTTGGAAAAGACACCATGTCGACCATTGCTGCGATACCATTTAAGCTTGTTCGTTGTGGAATTACACCCATCATGGCTCGATCTCAGAACACATTCACAAGCAGTGTGAACACTTCAAAAAGTACAAACCCTACAAACAATATTAACCCACCACCCGCAAAAAGTATCAACGTAAAAAGTGTCACCGCCAACAATATTAAACCACCAACCGCGAAAAGTGATAAACCGACAAAAAGCATTCCCTCACTAACAATGTTCATGCTCCACCAAAAATCCAAAAACCTCTATAAATCCGTATGGCGCATCAGTCGTTTGTTAAGTGAAGATGAGAGACGGTTTGTGAGGGAGTGGTGTAGGCGGGATTTTGAGCGGTATAGGGGTGAGACTGATGAGGTGAGTGTTTTGAATCATTGCGTGAATTGAGTTTTTATTTTGATGGGGTTGAATTGTGTTTTTGTGGTTTTGTGTTTGTGGGGTTGAAAATGAGGGGGGGGGGGGGGGGGGGGGGGGGGGGGGGGGGTGAATATGAATGAGGGGGGTCGTTTTAATGAGGAGCGTTTACTGATGAGTGCGGTTGAACTAATGAGCGGCATTTAGTGATGAGCGGCGTTTAACTCTCTTTCCTGATGACGACGTTCGACTTTTTTTTTTTACTGATGACTGTGTTTCCTTTTTTTTTGGCTTTTTTATTTTTCGTTTAGGAGAAGATTCGGTTTTTGGTGCAGATGGGAAGAGGACAACTCCGGACTTTGGAGATGGGGCTGGGGATGGGTGGTGTGGACACTACGACTACAACTACGAAGAGGGTGAAGAGTGGGGGTGTGAAGGGTCGGAGTGGGAGTGCAACTGAGAGTGCGAATGCGAGTGAGAGCCAGAGTGCAACAGAGAGCGAGACTGAGAGTGGGAGGAAGAATGGGTGTGAGACCCACCACCACGACCATCATCACCACCATCACCATCATCAGTGAAAATCACCAAAAACAAGAGACCTACTTTATCTATTACCTAATTACCCCACGGGTTTCGCGGGGTTTCGCGGGTTTCGCGAATTGCATTCGTACCACTCTGTCCCGATTCTGCCGCTTTTTCGGTCTTTTGCGGGTTTGAACACTAGGACGAAGTGAAAGTATGTGTGAGATTGTGTGGATTACTAACCCCTTGATCTGTGCGCTTTGTGTGTCTATGTGTGAGACCGGTGGCGGCGTGCGCTACCCATACTGCCCATACCACCAAAACAATATCAACACTTCCCCCACATATTCGCAACACATATCTTACGACACACATATGTGAGCTACGACCCACCGCACCGCACCACACCCCTTCGAAAAACATCACTATCAAAAACCTTTCGAAAACCTGTGTTCTCGTGGCGATACGAGGGACGCGGTACTTGAACAACCGTATGCGAGACCCCCGATGTTATGTGAAGAGAAAATGGAGACCCAATACCCCGCCTTCACTTTTTTTGGTGCGTGGTGGACGGGCGGGCTACGAAGTGCGAAAGGACCGATCAACCTTCTTTGGAGTTTTCTGTGGGCGCCTGTGTTCCAACCACACGAACAACACGACACAAACAACACATACAACACACCACCTACAGACATACAGACAGACAGACAGAGAACACCTACATACATACAGGCAGACAGATATACACCCGGAAACCGTTCTCTTTCTGTGACTTACACGGATTTACACGAGACGAGAAAATATTGGGTGTCACAGTTATGAGCGTGTGTGAACTATACCAAAACCCCCTTGCAAACAACCCGCTGTATTTTCCTGTCTATTTATCTTGTCTCTCAAATATGTGTATCTTCAGTTATCGTTACAACTCCTCACGCCTCTTCCGAATTCCGCTCTGTGTCATATTTCCAATGAACCGGTTACTGACATTGTGTGTGTGTTGCCCCACACAGTAAACAAACAAACGAGGGGGATGTAAAGTGTGATTTCGGTTATTTGGATAGCTGTAATTTTTCATATATACAAATACAGAACCCGCTTATCTCTCGAGAGAGAGAGTGAGTGAGAAACGGTAAGAAGCTCATTTACGACCGTTTCAAATCCAGTTGGGATGCACACGGTTAAATAAAGTCGTGTGTGTCTGGTACCGATCAATCCTCTCGCTACTTCATGTTCGGGAATCCAAAGTGATGTGTTCTTTCAACAGATTGTCGTTGCTTTTTTTGTTCGTTGTTTTTCGTTGGTTTCGTTGATTTTTACCTCCCTCGTGTCCAAACCACGACTCCACGTTCTGCGCTCACCAACACCTCCCATTTGGGATTAAACCTCAGAATACGGGGTGTGTCCATACACTTCAACAGCGCAACTTGTTTCCCGCCATCAGTCGAAGTACTCGTAGTGGTGGAGAAGACACGGATGGAGGAATCGTCTCCACCTGTGAATACGAACTGAGCGTCTGGCGAGAAGCACGGTTTACAACCCGTGTTGTTATTACTGTTGGTGGTGGTGGTGTTGGGATGTGACTGATGAATCGCACCCGAAAACCCGTCTAACACATGTACACCCTCCCCCGTGGCCACAAGCAACAGTTTCCCATCATTCGAAAACTCCGAATGGTATATCCCCGAATTCGAATTCGAATTCGAAATTGAATTTGAGTTTGGATTTGAGGGGAGAGTAAACGTCGTGAATGGG